CAATTTTTTATAAGTTTGAATTTAATTTTAGATATAAATGTGTCCTCTGACAATTCTTACTAGTAGTGGTCATACAAGAAACCAAAAGTAGATTAATGATTCGTATATTGTTAGAAATGCCTGTTTACATCCTGCCATTGCATCTTCAGTTATAGGGAAAAAATAAGATTGTTTTCCTCATTAATAAATGGTTTGTTACTGACTGCTCTATATGAGGCTTTGGGTAAGTTTGTAGATTTCCAGCTTTTTAGAATCCTTTGTCACCACCTTTTCTCTGTATCACCCACAGCAGCTCTGTTGATAGGAATTTCTGTGTTAAAAGTTTATATGTCTACATGGTAGCCAATAGCCATGTGTTGCTGTTGAATACTTGAAATGTGGTGAGTGCAGTGGAGGAGCTAAATTTTAAATTTTACCTAATTTAAATGGCCACACGTGGGGAGTGGCTACCATAGTGGGTAGCACAGGTCTGGAGTATGGTTGTGTGTCTTTTTGCATTCTTCTTCTGTTTTGCAAACTGATCCCAGATTTCACATAATCCTCATAGGTCCCATCATTACTTCTGCTTGTTGCATTTCCACTGTGAAAATGAATACTGATTCTTTCTAATTATTCCTGTTTCTTTTCTTGCTTTAGAATCACTCAAATATAATGCTTTTGATAAAAAGAAAATGGCCATATTCTTTGCTTTGTAATTATAAATAATTCCATTTTTAGATTTATAAATGCCAAATAGAATGATGAAGACAATGAATTTTTCATCATCATCTTCATATATATACCTACCTTTAACATTTGTCCATTTGTGAACTATACCAAGGAATTTTTTTACACAGATATCCTAAGACAGTACACGATATTGTCACATCCTTTTATTTTTATTACTTTTTAAAATTGATTTTAGAGAGAGAGGAAGGGAGTAGGGGAGAGAGAGAGAGAGAAACATCCATCAGTTGCCTCCCAGACACCTTGACCAGGGATTGAATCTGCAACCTGGGTATGTGCCCTGACCAGGAATCGAACCTCTACCCTTTGGTACATGGGACAATGCTCCAACCAACTAAGCCACATCTGCCAGGGCTGTCACATACCCTTTTAGCAAAACAAGTTTGTTCACGTTCTTGAACATTTGGTAATGAATATTTGGTAGTGAAGTAATTTTTGTGTAGTGACTACTGTTGCTTATTTATTTATTCATTTATTTTTAAAATTGATTAGAGAGAGAGAAACATTGATTTGTCCCATTTTTTTTTTTTTTAATCCTCATTCAAGAATATTTCTTTCCCCATTGCTTTTTAGAGAGAATGGAAGGGGAGGGAGGAAGGAAGGTGGAGAGAGCAGGAAAAACATTGACGTGACAGAGACACCAATTGGTTGTCTCCCGCACACTCCCCGACTGGAATGGGGATCAAACCAAAGACCTGTTGGTGGGCAGGCCAAAGTTCTAACCACTGAACCACATCAGCTAGGGCTGTTCCACTTATTTATGCATTCATTGATTGATTTTTTTTTTTATAGTTATTTTTTTTAATTTTTATTTTTTTTAATTTTATTTTTGTTTAAAATATTACAGATGTCCCTTTTTTTCCCCAATCATTGATTGATTCTAGTATATGCCCTGACCGGGAATTGAACCCAAAACATTGGTCTGTTAGGATGACACTCTAACCAACTGAACCTACCTGGCCAGGGCCTGGCCTCTCTCTCTCTTTTTCAATAGTTTACCCTTCTTCTGAAGATCCCATCTTTATGTGGAAGGATGTTCTGTTAGAGCTCTACCTTAGGAAGGCCCTGGCTATATCTCTTCTGTACATTGGACGGCTGTCACAATGCAAACTCAAGGTCACTTGGGGTTGATGCATCTTTAGGGTGCATGCATATGTACTTGCTTTCATCTTTAAGTCCCTGTTTTTGCTTCCTTTTTAGCTTTTGAGGATTCCTTAATTTCTTTTTCTTTTTTTAAAAATATGTCGTTATTGATTTCAGAGAGAGGAAAGGAGAGGGAGAGAGAGAGATAGAAACATCAATGATGAGAGTCATTGATTGGCTGCCTCCTGCATGTCCCCGACCGGGGATCGAGCCCGCAACCCGGGCATGTGCCCTGACTGGGAATAGAACCTGGATCTCCTGGATCCTAGGTTGCTGCTCAACTGCTGAGCCACACCCTGCTGGGAAAAATTTAATTATTTGTTATATAAAATATATTCAGACCTGTACTTTATTAAGTGTGTGGTTATTAGGATGTCCAAAGACAATTAGCTTTAGGAAATATTTTTGTAGAATAACTTGCATATTAACTTGCAAAATTATGCTTGTGTAGTTCTACTTTTCAAGGGTGATGAGAATAAAAAAATGTCTAACTCAGAAATTTTCTGGGTGCCCGGCCGGGCGTGGCTCAGCAGTTGAGCATCGACCTAGGATCCGGAGTCAGGGCACATGCCCGGGTTGTGGGCTCGATCCCCAGTAGGGGGCGTGCAGGAGGCAGCCAATCAATGACTCATCATTGATGTTTCTGTCTCTCCCTCTCCCTTCCTCTCTCTGAAATCAATAGAGATGTATTTAAAAAATTTTTTTTCTGGGTGAAGTTGGGGAAGATGGTGGGAATGAAGAATTTGGAAATGGAAGGAGAAACATATATTTAGCAGTTAGCTGGTCACAGTATGTTATTAATAAAGCCTTTAAAAAAAGTATTAAAGAATTTGACACATTGTTTTATTGGAAATGTTTGCACTTTTACCTAGAGAGCTATAGAGGGTGCTATATCCTTAAGAAAATCACTAGTTTTAACTAATTATAAGAATTTTTTTAGGCCAGAGCATTGAAGTTTACTTACTTCTCTTGGATATACATCTTTTTTTTTCCTTTCTACTATTTTCACTGAAATTAGAATGACAAATGTTGCATAATTAATATAGTTTATAATGAATATTGATCTACGTACTTGTTTGCAAAATGTTTGTCTTCCAGATTCTTTGAATATAGATGAAATTATGATTTCCCTACTTTTTACTGGTTACAATAACAAAGGTTTATTTTCCTACCATCTGTTCTCTCCCTTTCCTCTCAAATTGAGAATTGTATTTTGATTGGTAGGCTTTACAAGCAGTCTCTTCTCCTCTTCAGATGGGTCAGAGATAACCAAATCGTATAATGGGACTGTATGCTTAGGTAGAGCATTATACCCTTAGGCAGCTTAGGCAGCTCAGAGGGTATTATCTTGAGAAGAAAGATTGTTAGAACAAAATAAAATTTAAAAACCTGGGCAGACTTCATAAGTTGTTTTGTTTGGAAGCTGATTAATTTATTATTCAGATAGGAGTTTCATAAATTCCAGACTTTACTATTCCCTGATTTTTCTGAGTTAAAAAATTTGTGTTTTTATTGTTTTTGCTAAACAATACTAAAAAAATTTATTTTGCAGGCAGGGCTTGAATTATTAATTTTGATCCATTTATTTAATAAGAAGGGGAAAGAGCTCATGACCCTCCCAAAATAGTAGTTAACCCCCATCCCACCCTCAGAGTTCTAGTCAGTGACATGAGCATCATTCACATTTCACTCAGTGCCCAGTATTCAGATGGTGGCATACTCTGCCCCATCGAACCACCCTGAAGGCACAGGGCAACTGTTGCCAGTTTTAGCTCTCAGCATAACCGGTTATTCAAACCAGGTAAGTTGGTGGGCTAAAGTCCAGTCATAAGCTTATAAAATTTAAGGGGGTTGGGGAAGGCCGTAAGCGGGGAGGTAGGTCACTCATGCTTTTCGGCTAGTGACTCTGGATACAGACTTCAAGAGAGGTCGGGATAGGTGGACTGTAGATTTCTGATGAAAGAATCATCCCTCGAGGAAGAGCTGAGATGTGTCATACAGAATAGTTCTTCCTGCAGAGGGCATGAAGGGCAGTTGATCCTCCCTTCTAGGAGACAGGAGGTTCTAATACCATGAAGGTAAGACAGAAGGCTGATGGAGAATCCTGAGGTTTCAGCCAAATGTGAGACTGGTACACATATAAAGGCTGAAAAGCCATGAGAAACCCTCAAAGCCAATTCCCACCTGCATACACTGGCTCTGCAAAGTGCTGCTGGAAATTCTTGCTGTGAACTAGTAAAAAGAGACCTCCAAGAAGCAGAAAATATTTAGAGAACATTCCAAGATGGCATATTTCATATATATGTATATTTAAAATTAAGAATAATAAGACTGCCCGGCCGGGCCTGGCTCAGCAGTTGAGCGTTGACCTAGGATCCAGGCGATCGGGGTTCGATTCCCAGTCAGGGCACATGCCCGGGTTGCGGGCTCGATCAATGACTCATCATTGATGTTTCTATCTGTCTCTCTCCCCCTCCTTCCCTCTCTCTGAAATCAATAAAGACATTAAAAAAAAAAAAAAGAATAATAAGATTCAAGCCATTCCCTGTGCGAAAAAAGAATAAAAGAATTTAAAGTGAGACCTCTGCTATTCTAGTTTCAACTTAGGTATCACAGTCAGCTTGTTACTTTCATTTGGGAAGAGAAGATGTAAAAGTTTCTTTCATTCAGAAGGGAAGTATGCTACTTACAAAAACAGAAAGGCAGGGACAGACTAGGAAAGGAAAGTAACTTAGGATTCAGTCTCACTAGTGCTGAAGAATTTCAAAATTATTTGAATTTGGTCAAGTTAGATGGGGTGGTATATTTTGGAATAAAAGTCAGTAAAATGGCTGTGTTTAAAAGGATACAAAAAACATGTTAGATAAGTATCTATCTAAAATGTAGGCAGCTTTAAAGGATTCTGGCCCAAACCTTGCTGGAAATGTCTTCCTTTTCCTGAGACAATATTTTAAATATTTATTATGAAGTTTCATATTACTAGTTCCAAAAAAAAAGTAAGAATATGTGTTCCTATTGCCCCCCCGGCTCTCCAAAGTGAAAATATTTTTTCATTGTGAGTAAAAGGATTGCTGTGGTTCAAGCTTTCTTACTGAACACATGTGCTCTGTTTGTTTCTCTTAACTGTCAAGGCACCGCCTTCCATGGTCAACAATGAACAACGCCAGCATGCAGAGCACATATTCTTATCATTTAGGAAATCGAAGTCACCATTTGCAGTTTGCAAGCATATTTTGGGTAAGTATTTACTTTAAAAATATTTTTGCATAATCACTTCTAGTTTTTCTATCTTGAATGTTACATATTTTAAATTCTTTTTAAAATAAGCAGGTTTGTACAGTTATAATTTTTCATTAATAATCATTCTCTGAAGTGATTTTAAAGATATCCCATATAGCCAGACAGAAAGTGTTTTTTAACTTTAGATTTCCCACCTCAATAATTTTATTATTGGCCATAACATGAAGGCTGTTAAGAGTGGAAAAAAAAAAATCTTAATATATTTTTCAGTTGTTTTCAAGTGTGATCTCATTTATTATAGGAAATGTACCATATCTTATCCTAGTGTTTTAAAATTCAGATTGTTTTGGGAGCTTTCTACAATTTCTTTCTTTTGTCTTTTTTCTTCATAGCTTTTTATTTTTTAATAGTTTGTACTCAGCTTGCTTAGTGAATATTAGTCAGTTCTGTATAGGATATATCACTGTATATCCTAAAATGAAGCATTGATTTTTTTACACTTGTAAAAAAAATTGTATGAGTCCTTATATCTGACATATGTACAGAAATGATCTGTTTCCAAAGATGGTATTTTCATATCTTCTGCCTCTCAGATATTTTATAACCTTTTTATTATTGGCTCTTTTTTTAAAATTGGAGCCATTTTTTGCCATCCATATTTAAGGCTGAAATGCTGAGTTATCCATGACTACAAAATTGGTTAGTGGAGGATTAGAAACTAAAATATCTGACCTTTTGTTCTTGTGCTTTGACTTATCTGTTAACCACCAGTTTGAAATCCCCTGCAATGAAAGTTATAATGTTAAAAATACATATACAGGCTTATAAATTAGAGTTGTTTGATTAGTTGGGTTGGAAAAGCTGCAGGGACTGTTGAGGTCCCAGCTCCAGAGGTGCCTATTGCATGTATTCATCACCTTGAGGGGTCACTTACCCTCTCTGGGCCTGTTCTCACCTGTGAAATGGGAACAGTGATGTCATGTTCCTTCATGGATTTAGCTATCTTAAGTTGGGAGGTGCAAATGTAGTAACAATGTAGAAAAGCACTTTGTAAATAGTCAGGTAAATGACATGACCCCATTAAAAATATAATAAGCTTAATAAAGGCTATTTTTTGTTTGTAAGGAGCTAGCAGTGGTGGTGAAGGTGGCTCTCTCCCACCTAGGAGTTAGATCTCACTGTTAGAGGAGCAGCTTTAATAACCACCTTTTAAATTCCAAATGAGGAAGTTTTGAATTTTTTTTGAGTGGTGAATTTGTTTCTGGCACTAAGATAATTTATTTTATGCCTATGGAAAATACTTAACTCAGCATTAAATTAAAAGAAGCAAACTAAGCATCAGCCTTCAGAATTTAACAGACTTTCTTCATCCTTAATGCCTGGAAATTGCTCAGCATTAATGGAATTAGGAAACCATTTTGTTAAACCAGCACCTAAAATAATCTGAGAATGGTTTTCATGGCATGTGCCGTTAACTACATTAACTAGAGTTCCATCAATGTTTCATCTGACTTTCTGTTGTAATTCATTATCATTCTGTACTAGTTGGGAAGTAGTTGATCTAAGTTATAAGTATTTTATTAGAGTGTATTTGTTTATACCACTCTTTCCTTTTTTGAGTATGTGTATTTATGAAGTATTGTTGCTTTGTTATGATTTGAGCTTGTTTTGGAAAACTTGTTTTTCTGATAAAAATTTCTAAAGAAGAGTATTGCCGATTCCAGTCGTGCTTCTGAAATCAGTGTGGGTTTTGAGACATGAACTATTTAAAAGCCTGAGTGCATGTATTACAGTCATTAATGTACTGCCAAGCCCTGTGTTACATTAATGTTACATCTAAACTTCACAGAGTATCTTTTAACTCCGTCCTCGGTTGCCACCAGCACAGAAAGGTTAATTCCTCTAAGAAGACTTCTCATGCAAGTGGCAGTCAATCACCATTCAGAATTTTCACATTCTTGTCTAGGGATTATATTTCATTTTTGTAGAATGTTGGGGTAATATATTCTAATAAAGGGGAGACTTTCGCCTTGATGCTTCCCCTTTCTGGCCTCTTAAAATTCTTCCTTTCCCCTTCCCAAATTTCATCATGTTTCTCGTTTTTTTCTCATTTCCTTGTCTTATCTTTTTGTTTTCATTCAAGTTGTAATTTTTTTGCTCTTTTCCGTATGTGCTCACACGTGTGTGCATGTGCATGTTGCATGGCTGTGCATTTTGTCAGAAGAGCACTTCAAACTGTTTCACCTCAGAAGGCATAGGAATTTTCTAGGTTTGTAGGGTCAAATGTTCCTTGACAAAACCTGAGTTCTCTTCTTGTTAAAGAACTGTTACACTCCCAGACAGTGAAGGACTGGTTTAGCACTCCTGGAGCTTTGTGACATTCTTTTGTCCTTCTCTCAGGGAGAAGTGGAATTCTTTTATGTGTTGTCTCAGAAGTAGCCAAAATAAAACAAAATGGTGTGCACGTGTGTGTTATTAAGCAGCCTTTGGGGTGCTTATGTCACCTATGCGTTAAGGCCAGGGAGGTGATTGTCGTCACTGACATCTGGGCTTGACTACTAGGGTTTTCTTTTTTTTAAAAAATACTTTCTGATCAGAACGTAGTGTATACATTTCCTCTCTAACATTTACTTCATTTTAACTTTTGTCTTTATTGCTCTGTCTAGTTTCAGATGGCTGACAAGATACAAATGAATTTTACTTATGTAATTATTATTAAAGTTACGAAGTAGGAAATGAAGGTGTCCTGCTAAAGTGGCCTAAAATAATTAGTCATCTAGACTGTGCCCTAGTCAGTGGAAAGCCATTCTAATTAGAAATTCTAGATGTGAAGATGTGGCCATTTCCAGCATCTCTCCAACAGAGAGAAGAATAAGCCTCATATACTGTGGGTCCTGCTGGCAAGTTGCCAGACCTCCTGCAAGTAGCTTTTGAACTTTATGTTGGGGGTAAGTGTAGTGTATGAAGGCTGAACAGTTTTCATGAGAAAGTGTAATTTGCTAGGTTAGGAAAATTTCTTCTTTAAAATTTGGCTTTCTTTTTTCCAGATTCCTCTTTTCTTAGAGAGCTTCTTATGGGGTAGTAATATAGAGATCTTCATTTAATACCAAGCAGAGGAAAAGAGTTACCTTGAGCCTTACCTGGGAAGCTCAGTTGGCTAGAGCATCATCTGGTTATGGCAGGGTTTTGGGTTCAATCCCTGAACAGGGCACCATATAGGAATCAACTAATGAATGCAACAGATTGGATGGGTTTCTCTCTCTCTCTCTCTCTCTCTCTCCCTCTCTCTCTCTCCCTTCTCTCTTTCTCTTCCTCCTCCTTTCCCTCTCTCCCTCTCCCCCTTCCTCTCTCTAAAAATCAATTAAAAAAACAAAGAGTTACCTTGAAAACTTTGAAAGTCATTCACCTTTTGTAATTGTGCTCCCAGCACAAATAGTTAGGAGTAAGCATGTTCCATTGCTCTTGAAGACCAGAAGGTCCTTGTTTCGTCTTACCTTTCTTGGCACGTGCAGGTAGGGGTGGATCAGTATTGTTCAAGGACCGCACCAGCTTTGTGATCTTGGATTTCCGATTTGTTTCTTTATCACTTGGTGCTTCCGTTCCTTTAACTGTAAAATGCAGGAATTGAACTAGGTGATCTTTGGAGGTCTATTTCCAAAATTCTGTGAGTCCCTACAATTTTGCTTTTTTGTTAAAATCCATGGTTAAGGATTTTAGGTTTCTTGTTCTTAAAATTTTTACTGTTTGTAATGGAGTATGAAGATAGGCAGAAACCATCATTTTGTTTCAAAAAGAGATTTATAAAAAGAGATTATTTGAGTTACTTTTATATAGCAGTACTGTATTTCTCCTTAAGTGACCTAAATAGATATAGCTGATTTCTGTTTAAAATTCTCTTTTAACAGAATGCTTATTTTTCTCCTGGAACTTTAAATGCATCTTTTCGTTATAGGTTTACATTTTTGGAAACTATTGCTTTATTTATTGGTTCTGTTTTAAGTTTTCTAAATTTTTGTGAGTTGTGATGATCATCTCAATTAGAATTCATATAAAGATAGCATGGAATAATAAAACGTTAAAAAAGAAGGTGCAAATTGGCTTCACTTATTAGTTTTGGTATTTTCAAAATTCCTAGGTAGTAGTGTAATATAATAGGCATTTATGTAGGGTATACTGTTCTCTCACATTTTTATGGCTAATTGTGTCAGGATCACTTATAAGATTTTTAAATGACCAGAACTTGAATAGGAGAGAAAATGGTGTGCCGGACTGTATCTTCATGCTCTTCTGATAATTTCTTGAAGGTGCTATTCTTTGCCTAGAGTGAATTTCACGAGGCTTTCAGATACCCATGTCCAGTGATCTTGGCAAATAACCTGTAGTCTAATCATAGATTTCTCATGGATTTTACACGATGGTTATTTTTTGGAGCGTCAGAAAATTTCCACTTTTTCTTGACTTATTTTGACTGTTTCTCCCTTTTGATAATGCTGTTTGGAAACTGACTGGAGTTGTATTGGTGAATAAAAGAAAAATAGAAAATTAATATAAAATATTTTTAAGTATGTTAATTTTCTATTTTTTCCCCCCTCAGAATTCAGTTTTTAGTTTAGAAACTATCACTTGTTAGTTAAGGCTGGATCTTTCTAAGTGTAGCTTTGGGATTTTACTCAGTTTGATCAGTATTGCAATCAGAAAATTCACAAGAACTTCTCACCTTGTGTAAATTGTTAATTTTTTTATTTTATTTTACTTTTTTTAACATTTTGAAAAAAATAACATCGATTGTATTTATTTCTGAACTTGCTATTGGAGATGGGTCATCCTGCTGAAAGCTTAATTACTTAACATTGGAATATTTTAACAGCGTGGCTCATCACAAATAGTAATGTTCAAAGACTAGTTTATTAAGGTATTTTGCAGATACCAAGTTCTGTTTTGCACAGGGTGAGAATCTCTTAGGAAGTTTTCTGACTGCTTTATATTTTTATTTTATTTTTTTTAAAGCTGTGTTATTTTTTAGTTCTTCATGCTTTGGAAGTAACAGTTGAAGAGAGGTGAGGAAAGTTTGTGAAAATTGTGATCGGGGATTAGCTGCCACCTGCCAGAGGTGTCTTCTGAGAGGAACTAACCTCTTTGTGGTGCTAGAGCAAGGTCACTGGATAAAAAAAAAGAACAGGTAACCATCTTATTCCTTGTCTGAAAAGTTCAATTAATAAATGCAACGTGTTCAAGGGAAGATGAGCTGCTGTTTACAGAAAGTATCTAATTCTCTCCTCAGAAACAAGCAAGGTGGACTATGTCCTCTTTCAAGCTGCCACGGCCATCATGGAGGCAGTGGTCCGGGAGTGGATTCTCTTGGAAAAAGGCAGCATCGAGTCACTGCGAACATTCCTTTTAACCTACGTCTTACAGAGGCCCAAGTAAGTACACAGAAGAGGTTCTGCTGAAACACTTGTGCTAAGCTTATCCTTTTGGAGCTTTTCCCTTTGTTTTTCTTTATTTTTTAATCATAGACGCTGTGGGTAAGTTCTGTGTGGGGCTCATATTTTAAAAACTCATACACATGCTTGGCCAGTGTGGCTTAGTGGTTGAGCATCGACCTCTGATCCAGGAGATCCAGGTTCGATTCCCGGTCAGGGCACATGCCCAGGTTGTAGGCTCAATCCTCAGCAGGGGGCATGCAGGAGGCAGCCGCTCAATGACTCTCTCATTGATGTTTCTCTCTCCCCCTCTCCCTTCCTCTCTCTGAAATTAATAAAATATATTAAAAACAGAAAACGAAAACAAAAAACTCATACACATGATTGTAGCATGTTTTTCTAATTAGTGAAATAATGATTTTTTTAAATTGAATTCATTGGGGTAACATTGGTTAATAAAATTGTATAGGTTTCATGTGTACAATTCTCTAATACATCATCTGTACATTGTATTGTGTGTTCACCACCCAAGGAAATAATGATTTTTATATGACCTTATAATACTAGGTGTTATTTCTTTGAAAAGATTGTACCGGATGTTAGGTTTTTTGTTGTTTAGTTCTGAAGATTTTGGTTGTAAATAAAAGTTAATTTTGGACTCAGTTGAAAAGCCTTTGTACTTGTTCTTCTTTTGGTGCTTGGTAAGCATTATAAAACAGGTGAGTATCCCAAGACAGATGAGGGAGGAATCAAGTACATTGACAAACTAAACATTACCTATATGTGTATATAGAAATGTATGTTATACGAAAAGGTTTTAGAAGAAAAAAACACCAAATTCTTTAACAGCTCCTTTGGAGAGGGGCTCTTATTTGAGGAATGGGGTAAAGATGAATTTTGTTTCATGTTATACACATTGTAGTGTTTAAACATTTTACAAGATAGTGTACATTTATTACTTTATGATTTTTTTTTTTTTTAAATAAGAGGAAAATTATCAGCCATACAACTTTTTTGGGGAAGATTCATTTATTACCTTTTTTTTTTTTTAAGTTCCCTAAATGCCAAGTCTTCTTCTAGGAAGCCTTGGGTGCACTTCTTTTAGGAAGTCTTAGGAAGTCTCTGTGTTTTGGTGGTTGGATACTTTTTGCATATATGTTGTTCATTTCCAAGTTCAATGAAGAAAATGTTATGTAATTAGAAATGCTGGTAATGAGGAATGTCGATTAATGGTGATAAACATGCATAAAGCTTTAAAAATAATTTAGAGCATACTGTTACACCTTCCTTTCTACTGATTGTTCACTGGCAGTCTTCGAGTTTGTAATATTGATTCATAATTATTGGCATGACTTTAGCACTCAGTTTAGTGCTGACTGCTTTACATGCATGACAGAAAAAAGCTAAGGTTTGCCTAGCCTGTTAGTATTGCAGGTTTAATAAATAATGTGTTCTATAGATGAGTGGATATACATGTATGTGTAAGGTAGGGAGAATGGCTTATTTTTTCTGGTTTTAACAGGAAGAAAAAAATTGCTCCAGTTTCTAACCTTTCTTTTTTTTTCCTTCCATGCTGGTTTTCTTTCTTTATTTAAATTTTATTTGTTGTTTGATGAGGGCACTTGGGTGTGATACTAACTTGCCCTGGAGCTGCTCATTTATCACAGCTCACTCCCCTTCCTCCTGAACTTGGGAACTACTGAGTTCTGGAAAGCTTAGTAGACTTAAAGGTGTGGCAAATTTTGATTGTGGGTATATGTGTGATTCCTTGTATTATCCAAAATAACCTCACCCTTACGTCATTTTGATTAGTTCAGGAATATTTTAAAATTGTTTATAAAGTAATAGTACAGTGAACATGCACATGCCCTTTCCCTAGCAGGGTCTCAAATAACGTTTTGTCATATTGGATCTCCCTTGTGTGTGTATATACTGTGTGTATACATGTATATGCATCTTCTCCTGATCCATCTGGAAGGATGCTGCAGAAATCGTGATGCTTCATCCTTAAACACTTCAGCATGACTTCTAAGGGCATCGTCTTCATACTCTATTATCTAATGTAATTCTGATTTCATATTTGGATATTCCCAATTGTCTGAATAACGTTATTTATGTCCTTTTCCTCCTTTGTAGTTTATTTTTTCGATCCAGGATTTAACCACAGGTTTAGTTGTCCTGTCCTTGTAGTCTCTTTGTTCTAGAATAATCTTCCTTTTTTGTCTTTCATGAAAAACTTTTTATCTAGTTGAATGCCCTACAGCAGGGGTGGGGAACCTTTTTTCTGCCAACGGCCATTTGGAGATTTATAACATCATTCATAGGCATACAAAATTATCAACTTAAAAATTAGCTATGAAAAAAGTTTCTAGATTTATTGAATTTCGAGTCCTGCAAGTCCTGCCTGTGATTGCCTTGGCAGGGTGAGACCAAATAATTTATTGGTCCAGCCCGCGGGCCAGGTATTCCCTACTCCCGCCCTACAGGGTAGATTAGAGTCAGTTACAACTTTCAGTGTACTGTGTAGGTCAAATACTGCAGGTTATGTAGGAGAGAATACTGCCATTTCATGCACAGAATTTTTTTTGGTTTTCTTTTTCCTCCTAATTAAAGCGAAATTTGCATAGAGTGAAATGCAGGGTACACTTTTATTTTATTTTTTAATACATCTTTATTAATTTCAGAGAGAGTAAGGGAGAAGGGGGGAGAGAGAGAGAGATAGAAACATCAGTGATGAGAGAGTCATTGATTGGCTGCCCTCTGCACGCCCCCCACTGGGGATGGAGCCTGTATCCAGATATGTGCCCTTACCCGGAATCAAACTGGATCTCCTGGATCATAGGTTGATGCTCAATCACTGAGCCACTCCAGCCAGGCATAGGTACACTTTTATAAAGAGGCAGTAGATCATGGTGGTTGAGAAAAGGACTCCCACTCCTGCCCCTTCTAAATCTGTGACCTTGGGCAAATTATTTCACCTCTTTGTGCGTTAATTTTCTGATTATTAACTAGAGTGAATAATAATATTGTACTCAAAAGATAGTGATGAGGATTAAATGTAATAAGTTTTGTGAAGTTAGTTTATATAAAAGTCTTGCATATCATAAGCACCCAGTGTTAGCTATTATTATTTATTTTCCTAGTAATTTATAATTCTTTTCAATAGAGATATTTAGAACTACCTTTATGCACATTCTTAGTAATAGTATTCAGTTTTATGTGCGTTTTCTAGTAGTCAGTGAGTACTAATATTTGAAACTATTATGTCCCTCCAAAAGTGTAAAAATTCCCTTTGGTCAACTCATATTCTTTTTTTTTTTTCTTTTCATATATCTTTATTGATTCCAGAGAGAAGAAAGGTGAGGGGGAGAGAGAGAAACATCAATGATGAGAGAGTCATTGATCAGCTGCCTCCTGCACGCCCCCAACTGGGGATTGATCCGGCAACCCGGGCATGTGCCCTGACCGGGAACCGAACCCTGATTGCCTGGATCCTAGGTTGATGCTCAACCGCTGAGCCACGCCCAGCCGGTCTCAACTCATATTCTTGATCATAATAGAATCTCTCTATTTGCTTAAGGAATGCTTTCAAGTGTTTGTTTTGAAGAAACAGTTTTCGCTTTAGTCTATACACAGGGACATGTGTTCATTCACATAAATTTCTAACATGCCTATTATTGGCAGGCATTATACTTTACTATGAGACTACAGTAGCAGCAGTCCTAGCATGGAGGCCAATCTGAGAGATGAAGTTAAACCCATGGTAACAGATGCTTCGTGTTATAACAGAGGTACAGAAGAACCCTCTTTAGTGATGACCAGCCAGGTATAAGGGCGCTGTTCAGGGATGCTGTCTGGACAAAGCAATTTAGAGGCCTGGAAGTGCGTGAGCCTTGTGCCAGCAACTGAAGGAAGTTCAGTACGCCTGCAGTTCTGAGTGTGCGTAGAAGGGGTGACATCAGAGGGGGGAGCCAGCACCCAGCCATAAAGAGCCTTAGGAGTGAGTGACCATATAATTTTTGTCCAAATGTGGACACTTTTCAGAGTAAAAGAAAGCACTATTAATAATTATGTTGGACATCAAGTAAATTGGGAGTGTCCCAGGAAAGTTGGGCTGTGTCCCACTGCTTATAAGCCATGTTAAGGAATTTGGGATTTTTTTGCAAGAGCATGGATGGACCAAGAGGGTATTATGCTGAGTGAAATAAGTCAGACAGAGGAAGACAAATACCATATGATTTTGCTCATATGTGGAATCTAAAGAGCAAAACAATTGAACAAACTCATAGATACAGAGAACAGACTGATGGTTACCAGATGGGAAAGGGGTTGGGGGGCTGGTGAAAAAGGAGAAGGAATTAAGAAGTACAAATTGGCAGTTAGAAGATAGTCACAGGGGCCCTTGCTGGGTAGCTCAGTTGGTTAGAGTGTCATTCCAAGTTGGCAGGTTCGATTCCTAGTCAGGGTAACCAATGAATGCATAAATAAGTGGAACAACAAAGTGACACTTCTCTCTCCCCCCCTCCCCCCTTCCCTCTCTTCCCCCTTCTTTCTCTCAAGAAAAATCAATTAAAAAAATGGTTACAGGGGTATAAAGTACAGCATAGGGAATATAATTAATAATATTGTCATAACTATGCATGGTGCCAGGTGGGTACCTAAATTTTCTCAGGGATTATTTTGTAAGTTATATAATTGTCTAACCACTATGCTGTACACATGAAACTAATATAAAATAATACTATAAGTCAACTGTAATGGAAAAATTGGGGTGTTATTTCAAGGGCACATGGTGGTTGTATCCTTGTGCATTCTAAAGGCTGCATTGCAAAGTTCAAGGTTTTGTTTTCTGAGGTTTACCTTTAAGAAACAGTTGTGAAAAGGCAGTTAAATCTCTATGCTCTTGTCTAATGGGCTTTTTACATTGCCCCCATTTGGGAGCAGTGCTTCTGCCACCACACTAAGGAAGATATCTTAGAGATGAGATTTTAAAAAAAGATTTTTTAGACTTTGCATGTTTCCATACATTGTCTTGGATAGTTAGCATGTTGCCTTTCTACATTAAAGGGGATGGATATAAGATTATACAAGTGGTTGGAGATGGATATTAGGTCAGAATTTCTCTCTTAGTTGGTAGAATCTTAATCTGGCTCTTAGTGAGCTGATTTACATGTATCGAACACTGACTGAAGTAGCTAATGCTTACATAGTGCTTAGTGTGCACTGGGCACAGTTTTGAGAACATTTAATTCTTGTAACAACTCTGCTGTTGTCCCCATTCCACAGATGAGAAAACTGTGAGTGAGTGTTAACTATCTTACCTTGGGTTACATAACCAATGGATAATAGAGTGTGGATTTGCACCCAGGTCTTCTGACTTTGGAGCCTGTGCATAACCAGTAGGCTACACTCCATTCAGACATAAGCAGGTTATTAGGAATTCAGGCATAATGAGAAATTTGGGAGTGTTATTATATTAGAATTATGTAAAAGTTTTCACTTTGATCTTTATGTTTTACAGCCTCCAAAAGTATGTTCGGGAACAGATTCTCTTAGCAGTAGCAGTAATTGTAAAAAGAGGCTCACTAGATAAGTCAATTGACTGCAAGAGCATTTTTCATGAAGTCAGCCAGTTGATCAGTAGTGGCAATCCCACTGTGGTAAGTGTGCTAACTATTCACATTTGTAAACATTTAATATTTGTATTTTGTATTATACAGACACCATTACAGCAATAGTAATGGGTATCTACATGAAAGAAAAAGCAGCTTTTATTTGTTCCTGTTTTTTCTAGTTTTTTCATATGTATATGTACTGTAGATATAGTGTAGTTCGCTTTTTCATTTGATCCAATGTTTCCATGTTGTTGTAGATTTCATAAGCATCATTTTAATGATGTAAAATATTATAAGCTAATATACCACACTATGCTTCACCATTTTCTTTCTATTGAACATTTCCTTCCTATTTAATAAACACCTTTGACAGCTACTATTGATAGTAGAAATGTTTGCATAAAATATGAAATGATATCTGACATAACACTTATTAAACGTTGCTATACCAATATATATACTATGTATAGCAGACTGTGACTACCAGGTGTCACTGTCAACTGAACAAATTTGACAACCATTCTTCTTGATTGAATTACTCTGGAGAGCCTGATTAGCTTGTTCCCCTTTCAGTCTTGTGTCTCCCTTTTGGGAACTCTTTGTGCCTGCAGAATGACTGTTTGGTTGTAGTCACTCTGTCATGGGCAGGAGGGCTTGGGGTTGGTATTAGTGATCAGCTGTGATTCTTGGTTAGAATAATTGACCTTTATCAGTCACATGGCATTTAACTCATGTAGAATTGGGATTGGTACTACCTGGCTGTTCTGATTCTCAGGTATTAAATCTTTAAATGTTTTGGGTAATTTTTTCACTTTACCAATTTTTTAAATCATTTAAAAGATACAGTACCTATGTGAGGCTGTATACCTTACAATTCTTTATGAATATTTTTTATTTTCAGTGGTCTCTCAGTGAGTGTGATTTTAATCATTTTATTGATGGTTTGCGTTTAGGAGGTCAAGGTACATTTTAGGGGGCCTGCACACTGTCCCTTCCTTTTCACAGTGTCTTGGATCTCTTCTCTCCCCACCTCTTACCGTGCACAGATGTGCTCTCACCTCTGCTCCAGCCATCTTCCCACCACTCTGGCTGGGACTCCAGAATGACCTGCCAGGGCCTTGACTGAAGGAATACGTAAGCAAGTTGTCAGGACTTTGAAACTTCCTATATAACCCTGAAATTTTTTTGTTTTACCTTTGGAAGTCATCAGTGGGCATGTGTCTGTTCTTTTTTTTTCTTATCAGTTTTTTTGAGGAATAATTTATATGCATTACTGCATCCATTTAAAGTGTACACGTGGATGAGTTGTGCAGTTGTACCAGTGAACTACCATCAGAGTCATGATATAGAGTATTCCTATTTAAATTTGACTTTTGATTGTGTGGATATTGTTTTCTATACCATGCTTGTGGCAGATTCTTTAAGAGTAGATGTGCATGTTCTATACCTGTTATCTCTAATATGTGGCCACAATACCAGCAAGGTGGTGGCTTTTAATCATTTGAAATGTGGCTGGTGTGACTGAGGAACTGAATTTTAAATTTTATTTAATTTTGGTTAATTTATATTCAAATAGCCACATGTAGCTAGTGACAACCATATTAGACAGTGTAGTTCTAGAGATGTTGATAATTAGAGGTCTAATTTTATGTTCTTTTCACTTAATCTTAGTATTGTAAAGTTTATTTGTTTATATAAAACTAGCACCTTCAGCCCACCCATGAACCAGGAGGTGAGGTTCAATTCCTGGTCAGGGCACATGCCCGGATTGTGGGCTCTATCCCCAGTAGATGAGAGAGCCCATCAATGACTCTCTCATCATTGTGTTTCTCTCCCTCTCTCCCCCTCTCCCTTCCTCTCTCTGAAATCAATAAAAAACATTTAAAAACAAACAACTAGCAACTTCAAAATGTTTATGTTTGAATTACTACATTTTCTGAGGCATTTGGCTTGTTTGTTTGTTTTTAATCCTCACCTGAGGATGTTTTTTTCATTGATTTTCAGAGAGTGGAAGGGAGAGAGAGAAACATCGATGTGAGAGATATACATCGATTGGTTGCCTCCTGCACTTGCCCTAGCCAGGCCAAGGATGGAGCCTGTAACCCAGGTATGTGCCTTAGCGGAATCGAACCTGGGACCCTTCAGTCCTTGGGCCGTTGCTCTAACCACTGAGCCACACCAGCTAGGGCTGGCTTGTTTTATGTAGTGAGAAGTTCTCCTGAAAATAGTTCCCAGGTAAGGTTCCTTTAAAAATATTTGAGGTAAAAATAACTGGGGAGCTACTTTTTACCTATATTAATCATTACTCTCAAAATCTCTCCCTTGGTGTACATGGTATCCATTTCTGATGAAGAGTTTTGCTTTTGATGTGCTGATGCTTCAGGGTTGCCTTAGTTGTATAGTGGTACTCTTGTTATTTGCATGAATTTTTGTTAACGATGGCCATGTGTGCCATCCAGTGGTGGCTGTTATGATGGGCAAGGGAAGAACAAGTGGTAGAGACAACTAACCAGAGCTTGTGGGGAAGGTTTGGCACTGAGGCTGCTACTTAGAGGTGTTATCCTAGTCCACTGCTCCGAGTCTGGTTAATCTTTTTGTGTTAGATTCTACTAAGGGCATGTTGCATTACGTGACATTCACAGTGAAGGAGTCCAGCTTGTTAAAACTGACCAGGAATGGAACCAGTAACTTTGGCATCCATGTCATAAGACTAATGCCTTCTCCCTGGTTAGTAGAATTTCTGTGCTCTGTCCTTACCCCCCACAAATAGCTTCTTGGCACCTGGATGCTGAAAGTAAAGGCTCAGGAGTCCCTTGCCTCTCTCAGGAATGAGCACAGACACGGGAGTTGACTTCCCCACTTCCTTTTCCCTGGGCAGTTTGACCCACTCCAAAAAGTCATCTCAACACAACCTGGCAATTGGACTTCTTTGAGCCCCTGAAATAATTGATGTTCCGAGAGTGATTGGAACAGATGTCACTATTAGAGAAGATTTTGCTCTATACACAGTGCATACCCTTAAGAATAGTGGGTAAATTTAATATCCTTATGAAATATTCCAAAACAGAAAGATTTTTTTTAAAAGTTTAATTTCTACTAACAGAGTTTACAGACTTTTTATAGCAGTAGGACATCAGTAGTGGGAGGTATAATGTAATTTCAAGATTGCCGGATGAATTTATTATGGTGACTACACTGAAAACATTAAACTTCAAAAGTACTGCATTTATGTGGCAAGTTCAGTGCCTACTGTGGCCATCCCTGTTGTCCTTGCCTGGTAGTTCGCAAAAAATGAGGTTACAGACCAGTAAAATGTTTTAATGTACGTTCCTCTCTCTTTCTCTTCCTCAGACTGTTGAGAAGTTTTGGGAGCGGTACAAGAATTTACTTAAGGTTTTCTTAGTCTCAGAGACATGAACAGCAGTGGGAGAGAGGTTTAAGACTTTATAAGAAAGGAGAATGATGTATGTATAGCGGTATTCTTGTTATTTGCATGAATTTTTGTTAGTGATGGCCATGTGTGCCATCCAGTGGTGGCTGTTATGGGCAAGGGAAGAACAAGGGGTAGAGACAAGTAATCAGAGCTGTGGGGAAGGTTTGTGTTGGCTAGAAACTTCCTTTATAAAGGTGATTTTAAGAGATATTTGGAAAAAGATAATTGATGGATTTCTGTGAATGAAAGAGGTTGACCTCATGCATTGAGTGAAACTGTAGTCTGGCTTTCACTCTTCCCTTTCCAAGAGTATATTTTTTGGTGGTCCATCCCCTTGTACTAGTCTAACTTACATGTTTAAATAAGTTTGGGGGCAGTATAGCATGATTCACTGATTTTTGTTGTGGATTAACACTTAGGGGCTGCCCAGCAGAGGAGAGAGCACTCAGTGAGTTTAGTAAACATTCAGCAAGTGTTGATGTCCCCATTGGTCTTACCCCTTTATTTATATAATCTTAGGACCTGAGTGCTACTAAATTATCTCTTTTTCTATCAAATAATATTTTAAGTGTTGAAAGTCAGAAGGAAGTATTTATGCTATTATCCATGAGTGAAAACTAATTGTGTAGTTAAAAAAATAGAAAACCAACTTATTAGCTCTACTTTTAATGCTTTAAGAAATATTTTATTTGTCTTGATTCTCTACAGATAATTTTATGGAAGAATATCTAATTCATAAAATATTTCCTAAGGAGATTATATTTTTAGACACAATACATTTTTTCATGTATCGTATGTATTCTTAGAGCGATTATGCTTGTATAGTTATTAAATAATAGATTATTTCATGCCCATCTTTGTGGACGGGCTGTTTTCCCTCTACGGCTGTAAAGGTTGCTGAGATTGCTTCATCGCAGTTTGCAAGGGCCAGGTCTGTTGTGTACTAGGTTGAGAGGGATAGATACTTCCTAAGGAAAGTAGCTAAGTTTTTTATTTGAAATTAATGTTTAAGCAAATTTTAATCTATTTCATGTTTGTTTTATTTCCTTTGAAAGTAGGTATATATTAAATCTCTTAAAGCTGTTTAATTTAGCATTTAAGTCTCTTTTCTTTTTGCCATGTGAGAGAGAAGTGAGTGAGAAACTCACTTGTCCACAGCAGCACTGCCCTGAATGTGACACTAGCTTAATCTCTCTTATTACAAGTCTCGTTTGCTTAGAGAAGCAGCTGGAAGTCTGTATGTATGGCAACCTTTCATAAAGTTTATTCTTGGTAATAAAGCTCCTGGGGTAAGAGCCAGGCTATTATAAGAGACAGTCCTCCCTCTGAACAAGAGTATTGTATTTTGTCAGCTGGAGTTAGTGTTTGAGTATCTTGTGCTTGTTATAGTAAGCTGGTGAGTAAGGCAAGCTATCTCTTAGGATATTTTTTCACCATCATGAAATTAATGGCGTTTACTTGAAATGAGAATGCTGCTGTAAGACTCTATTGTGAAGACAACAGTTACTTAGTTGTTAGTGAATTAACTTGTGGACTTTCAGTACTTCAATGAAAGAGAACAGATTAGATGATTTCATAACCTTGAAACCTCATTGAGTTTCTTCTGCTTGTT